ATATCGTAATGATGTGTTCAGGGATGTGTTGATGTGTGTCTTCTCTGTCGATTAACGTAATCATATATGATTATCCCCATGACAACACATGACAAAGCGAGCAATGGTACAAGTGTATGGCGTCCACAAATGGCAAAGTTTAATATATGAGTCGAGTGTTTGACATGGCTGTAAGATGTGAATCTGATTCGTTGACTTCTAATTTTGTTGAACTGTTGTGATTGTTGAGAGAGATCTATAATGGTAGGAATTATTGTTGTGCTAAACATCACTATGCTATATTTTTACAGTTAAACATACATAAATGTAGAAAAATGTAAACATAAATAGAAATACTAGTTTATCTGTGAATTCGTAATGTCTTTCGTGTTGCAGATAATAAATTCATTGAATGTGATTGAGAGTCGTAAACGAAATTTGACGTAGCTGGCGTGTAACTTGTTTTACAAATTTATGACAATTTCTTCTTGCACTGAATATATTTTTAGTACAATGAACATATCTGTCAAAACAGTATGCCTTTTAACTTGTACTAAGTGTGCAAGAAAGAACTGTTACTTATTTTGTGTAGAGCATTGTTGTAACCTAATTAAGTATCTAAATATTTGTGGTATAACTTGCAGGTATTCAAGATGTGTGTTGTGAAATTTGGCTGAATGGTTTCCCTGCTACTATCTCCTGGTCTGCCCAGGAGAATTCTCCCCTTTGCTGTCTTTCTCACAGCCTTCACGGTTGTCATGACAATACTCTTCTTGTCCTTTGATTTAAAAGGTAGTGTACCTTTATTCTGATATAATATAGGATAGCATTTAATTTGTAGTACATGCAAATGGTATTTGTTTCTTTTAATTGCTGTAGCCCCCAAACATCGTGAATTGTTCAACTTCACCCGAGATCTTGACTTCAGTAGTGTTGGTCAAGACAATCCTCAATTCATAGCCTATGTAAGGGCAGTTCATTTACAGTCACCACCTAATTCAGTGAGAGTGGTGGAAAAATTTAATATTAATCATCAGACTTTGTTGGTGGCCAGTATACTCAATAACAAAGTAAGTTTCATTTAATTTAGTGCATTGCTTTGTATTGTAGTAAAATAAAATATATTTATTAAAAACTAATTGTTTTATATTATGATGTTTTACATTTTGTTTCTCAAGAACTAATCTTGAAGCTGTAATGAGCTTGGTGACCCCAAGTTGCTTTTTGAGGCAAAAAATAATTAGTAATGTTTCTTAAAAATATACTATTATTAAGCTTTGTGTTTGAAGAACAGTAGAACAGTGTGTATGTCTCATAAAAAGTCAAACATTTTAAAATGTAGGATGATATGAATTGCAGTGTATTTTCAAGTCAGTAACATTATGATCAGTTTAGAAATCATGAGACAGATGGAACATGATTTACAATCTTGAGAGAATTTTCTTCATTTTAATTAATTCCCTGAAAGGTATATTAATTGTCACAAGTACAACACACAGAAAGGAGTGGCAGACCAATTAAGGGGTCACAAAGATTGTTGCGATTTGATCTACTTGCTTCTTTCATCGTAATTAATTTAACTTGTACTTTCAAATAAAATAAAATTAAAAATTGATTAACGATTCACATATCAGTATATTTAAATTGATTAACAGATAAAGGCCAATTAGTTTTTCAATTTGGATAATAATCTGATCATTCTCCATAATGGAACAAAAATGTGTGTTTGATTTACTGAAGACAATATTTAAAAGTGAATGTGTTCAAAATTAGATAACAGTTATGTACTAATTGATCTAACTTATTGATAAAATAAATCTTGAAGAGACTATCAAATTATGAATATCAACAAAAGGAAACAGAATTAGCAATAA